TTTCCATGTTTTACCGATGGGGACTTCTGTTTTTTTCGTAATTTGGTCCAGTCAGGGTTTGAGTTTTGTTGAACTTGGCGATTGTGTGTGGGTTTGACGGAGAGGTTGGTGGGCGTGTTGCTGTGTATCGGGTGCCGTGTTCAGAGTGTATCGTTGGTATTACTGTTGTGTGCAAGCAGTTGCTTTGTGCGACACCTGACGTTACGCGTTGGTGTCGTTTTTCAGAGTTGTTTTTTACCTTACTTGAGGGCTTTGTAGTTTTGTGTGATTGTTCTTTCTAAAGTGTCGGTAGCTGTATTCTGCTGCTGGGATGCAGAATCGTGTATAGTGTACGGAGGTTTTGGTAGTTTTATTCAACCGTACCGAGGACAACAAAATTCATTTTCTATAAGATGCGAATTTTGCTCATCGTACAGGTCGAGTTCGTTAGCACCAGGATCTTTCAGTCAAGGGTTAGTGAATCGAAGATGAGCGTTACTTGTTATAATAATGATTTTATTGTTGCTGAGATTAATTTGAGTTAATTAGTCATCAGCTTTGGTTTTATTTTTATTTTTATAAAATAAAAAATAAAAACATATTTTGCCTACTTCCGTTATATTCTCATACTATCAGCAGGCAAATTTTATTTCGATATAAGGTGTACGTAATGCAAACTTAAAGTGGAATTTATTTTTGGATATACATATTGTGAATCACTAGACGACGCTCTCGGATTTTTAGTGTAAAGGGTTCTGGGGCCTACTGTATTAGGGTACATGAACTCGTGCATAAGTCGTCTAAACTCCGTTTTCAGTAAGGAATTTGAAAAAAATATCCTCAGCTTTTTCTCAAAACGAAAAATTTTGACACTTTTCGGGCATTTTCAGTGCTTCCGATTTTTCTCAATGAAGAAAGGGTTTCTCGAGGCTAAAAAGATGATATTCGTAATCAGTGTAGTTTGGCGATTCGGAATATGTATGATATATCTAAAAATAAATTTCACTTTAAGTTTGTATTACTTGCATCTTATAAATTAAAGAAAACACATTAAATCAACATATGATGATTTACGTCTACTAATTTTTTGCTGTCATCGATACCATCATTACAATTCTTCTTCTTTTCCTTCATTTAGAACATATATATCCTAAATGAGATTTCATTTAGTTGTACAATGGAATAAAATTTACCTGTTGATGCTGTACAGAGAAAGATACAGAGAAAGTTGGTGAAAATGAATTTTTTTTCTTTTCATATTCTACTTTATCTTTAACGATACCACTTTTGTACTTTCTTGCAATTAGTAAGTTAATTGTATTCATAGTGATTTCTTGTAAAATGTTACATATAATAACAGAAACACGCAAACCGGGAAATGTTCAATCGAAGTCACCGATCTCACTTTCGCGATCAACGTCCTCGGTTGCAAACTAAATAAGGTGTTTCCACTGCAAAAAGCGGATTATCCTCTGGTAAACTTCTCGTATTCAACAAAAATACTTCTGAGTGCGAAATCAATTAAGACACAGATAAGAACGAAAAAATGAGACATCTTTGACCAACACATTCGCCTATAAATTTTCCTATGCAACCCGATGAGATCCATCGAACCATAGCAAAGAAAATGAAAAGAAATTCTGTTGAATTTCATATTGCGGGCATCTTATTCATTCTACATTCATTCTCTTACACTTTAACTAAAAGAACAAACACACAACTGTGATTATAAATAGTCTTTCTGTCATAAGATCTATGGACGACATCTTTTCTGATGTGCGTGTTAGCATTACCGAATGTTTACCGATAGCTAACAAATGCTCGTATTGGTTTCATGATAAGACGAGAATGAGTTTATTTTTTGCTCTCACTTTCTTCCGTAGCAATCCGTAGCAAATACATAATATACTAAATTTATTAAACGTACAATCAGTGCCAAACACTTTGTGTATCTTTCAGCGAAACCAATCTATACAAAGTTAAACGAAAACCTTTTACCGTGAAGCAATTGCTATATCACTTGGAGTAAATCTGAATAAATATTCATTGTTGATCTCATACAAAGTATTTTGACATAAGATGATAATTTAGAAAACTCGCTACTTTCTAATGATGAAATAACGATGGAAAACGCCTTGATTTTTGTATTTAGGAAGGATATGTATATTTGTCGTTGAATTATGATAATCGACATACGTGGAAAAAACATGAATGCAAAAGTCAATGGCAAGTACATTACACACAAATAGTTCGGGATTTGTAGGCTAAAGGATATAATTTCCAACGCTTCGAGTGATAGAGTAATTGCTTTACGGTAAAATGTTTTCGTTTAGTTTTGAATAGATTGGTTTCACTGAAAAATATGCAAAGTGTTTGACACTGATTGTGCGTTTTAATAAATTTAGTATATATTATGTATTTGCTACGGAAGAAAGAGAGAGAAAAAGCATAATCTCTTTATGAGTTCAGTTTGATCAGACTTATCAATGGACCAGCATGAATGAAGAGGTAAAGCAATGAAAAAGAAATTTCACCCTATAGGAGTGCTCCGAGAAGACACTCATAGCCATTTTCTGACTCGTCATCGTCGATTAGCCCCACTATATTATTCGCATGACACAGAACGGACGCCGACATTTATTTCATAAGGCCCTAGACTTTCGGTCAACGGAATAAAAAAATGCGATAATCCAAACGCTACAGCATTTTTTGTTGATAAACATTGAAACGTACACGAAAGAAGATTTTATAGTGGTGGTGGCAGGAGGCAAAGCTATCCAGCTTCCGATGATTGAAAAATTATCCGGAGTACATAAACAATGACCTCGAATACATGTTGAATTATGAACACAGCTGTATCTGTTGCACTTGTCACATATTCATATGTCCAACTTTCATCGCATAGACAAAAGAACATCCCCGGCCTTTACATGAGCCGAGACAGAACTGGTCTGTTGATATCACATGTGTGTATTGTTTCTCTTGTCAGATAATTCAAAACGACGTATTTAGTACAAAAAGAAAGAATACCTAATTATGTTTATAACCATAACAAGTCCTGTAAAGTAAAAATAGCGTTTGTTTGTTTGAGAAAAGTAAGAAGAAAAGTCTTAAAATGCCACAACATCATTAACACTATCAAAATATATTAAAATGAAAACAAAACAAAAGATGCACTCATATTCTTCTTTCTTTTTCGATCTTTTACGTAGAAACTTCCAGTATAGTAGACTCAATGGTACGTATTAGGAGTTAAATTTTTTTTTTTTACCACTATAATATAATTTTTATAGGATCCAAACGAAGATCAGTTTTATGCCTATTCGACAAACAGGAGAAGTGATCTCCCACTAGTGCCTGTTGCTCAAACTAATGCATCTGATAGACATTATCAACAGCAGCAACTGATGAATCGCACCAGTAATTTTGGCCTAACATTGCAGCAGAATTCGCTAGCCAGGGCTTCATATATTGAACCACAACTAAAATCTCCTTTAGCACCTCCGATGTTTCGAAAAGACGCATGGACAACTGAACTTGAGAATATGAATAAAATAAGCAATTCAAATGTTTTGGTTGGAAATGAGCCATCAAAGTAAAAGCGACAACGAATTGTGATCCTAAATACATTTTGATTTCTTAATTTCTTTTAGAATATCATCAAGTATGAATAATATTTGCTCAAAGATGTCGTCGTCGAAGGCTGCAATTCTCATGTGTGGCTTGATGTTGTGTGGTGTACCATTGGCTGTAATGACAACTCTCTGGTTAAAATCATCAAGTAAAATGACTGTCAAATTGAATATTGATTTATTGCTGGGCTTATTGATTTAGACTCATCAATAAGTTCAAGTGCAAGTTCAACATCAGCAACCGTTACAAGTAAAGTAGTCTTTGAAAGTGCGGTCGTGTTCTGTTCGAGCATCATCGGTTGTACGATAAAATTTCTTGTACAAAACGTTCGCTCATTTCAACTATTCGGTAAACATCAAAAGGAGTGTATTCCTCGAATCGGATTTTAAGTTCTGTTTAGATATCTCTCAAGCGAAAATGTAAGAGGAAAAATCTAGATACACTCGCTGGGGTATCGCCCGATTCTCTAGCAAAGTATCTAGATAAAAGAGTAAAAAATATCGGGTTAGCTGGATACATCGAGTATGACGCGATTACACGATATAATACCCGATGCATCTAGTAAGAAAGATAACCCGATAACCTGATTCAACTTTTCCTCTTCCGAACAGTAGAGGAGTGCATATAAGCTACAAGAGAAAAGTGGATATGGATGTTTTTTGAACATTTTCTCAAGAGCAATCTAGAATAAAGGATGATTTTATTTGTGTTTCAATTTGTAAAGTAGAGACTTTTTGCTTTCTCCTTTTGATTTTATTCTACATTACACGAATAAGTCAAACTCTTTGTTATACTTTAAGCATCAGTTTGAAAAATCATATTTTGTTAAAATATGCTCTATTTCAGAAAATAGCTTATAAGAAATGCTTTAACCTGTCGACCTTTTCTTGTGTATTCCATGACACATTTCACTTTGCTCAGGTTTCTAGTTCTACTGGCGCAATCATCAAACGGTTTTGGAACTCTTCTTTTTTTTGCCAGTTCAGACGTATTATTTTGTGAATTCTAAGATTCAGTCACTGCACTACATCAACAGTAACGAAAGCGTTTAAATGTAGTTAGAAAGAGCACAATTTCTAATCCTGAAATCATTCCTTTGACTTTTACGAGACGATTTCATGTGTTAGAAGGTTTCATGCAAAAACTTTATCACTATCCGTCCACAACTACTAATTCTGAATTTTTATTGAGGTTACGTACTTGCATTTACTCTCACATATTATGTGACCAGAAGTTGTTTGCTTCCAAACATTATGAATGTTTTTGTGACAGAATTCACCACTTTTTCTTGTAAGAAAATGTATGCTTCGTTTCTTTCTCGGTTCAAAGGTAGTATTAAAAGCTCGAGTTGGATCATAAAATGGTAGAAGCAGAATATACTTGAAAACTGACTTTCAGATCTTAGTTTACAATGCTCAGCGGGTTCACCGAGCGTATTCAAACGTGTGTAGACATGGAGGAATGAAACCTTTTTGCGCCTCAATATAAAACTCGGAAAAGCTACGTAGGCCATTTTCGTCTGTAACAAGTGGACTTTCTGAAACTTAGTTTCGCTGGTTGGGATTAGAAACCGAGACCTTGATAAAAAACGTAAGAGAAACTCTCTGCGATATTTTATTCTAAAGAGAAACACTAAGGTACATGATAGCGGAGACAGTCTTTACGGAAACTTCTTAGAAAAAGTCCTTACTTATCAGACCACAAGCTGTTGCAGACAAAGGCCAGATTGCGCATTAGATCGAATATAACGAGGTAAATGTCAGAAATAAGAGCGTTTCGTTCATTTTCCTTTTCAGCTGCAGCTGTCGTACTCCCCACTCAGTGCTATGCCTATACAAGCGATACGTCAACCAGCCGTGCGGTTACGTACGTGTGTGGTGGCTGTTATTGTGATAGTAGTCTAACGAACGGTGCTAATTGGTATAGATTTCTAAGTACAGCTGGTATAATGCTCGTCACAACACAACTTTCAACAACTAGTATTTGTGGCACTAGTTATCCAGCATGGTTTAATGGTTCTTTTCCTTCCACAGTTGGTTCGACCACAACGGGGAATATTTGTATCTACAATGGTTCTCCGTGTGGTGTTTCCTATTCACCAATTAGTGTTACAAACTGCAGTGGTTATTATGTATTTTATTTAGTTACATTGCCATATTCATGCTCCCGATATTGTGTGACAAATTAAATGCCTCATGTTTTCTTTTACATACTTATGTTTT